GTAAAGAGAGAGAGAGAGAGAGAGAGAGAGAGAGAGAGAGAGAGAGAGAGAGAGAGAGAGAGATCCTGTTTTTACACTTATAATCACACAATCAATGATGTGTGATATCTTCGTAAATTAATCAAAAGAAGTTCAACTTTGACATATTATTATCAAAATCTTTTCGTTGAAAGTGGAATAAGTCCATTTGTAGCTAAAAATATTGCGTAATCAAATTTAACAAGTTTATAGTTTTATAAACATTATCCGAATTGATTAATGTTTGTCAATAATTTTTAAGTTGATTCAAACGAAAACCCTTGAATATCTCAATGTATGAAAAAATCGTCTTAAGCCATTAAAAAAAACGCCTTATTTGAATCTTAATGTTTTAATATTTTAATGATTTATATATTCCTTACTTGTATTTTGTAATTCGATATCACTCTAAATCTTCAATAATTTTACGTTCATCATTTTCTACATAAATTAAATTAAAAATATTCCGAATTATATTAATTTTCTAATTCTTTTTTCTGATTTTACAACGTTAATTCTACTTTTGTTTCGATACAGTATCTGATTAGCGAATAACGTTGCTTACGTTGCTTCCTAACACGAATGACGCTTTGAAGCACGCATTTTATAAGACAGTTATGATAATTCAAAGTTATTGGAAAGAAAATGTAAAAAGACCGCTCGGAGTGCCAAGGGTATTAAGAGCTGCAACGGGAAGGCCGATAATTAAAGTCAATGGACATTGCATGTAGACCCGTAAAAGCATTAATGCGCGTTACCGAAAAGAATAAATTCCTTTCCTTTTTATCCCGTCGCTGTACGCTTAAGAGAAGTGTTCGTGCACGCTGTCCAGGCAATATTAGTGGACGTGGCGTAACACTTTCACACGCCGAATTAACCTTGTGTGAAATAGATGTGATGAAAAAAGACTGTATTTGTTTAATATTGAGTGAAAGGAATGTGTATATGTTTACAAAGTTAAAGTGTGTGTGTTGTCCAGTAAGTACAGCGTGATTGTTATGAACTTGTGATGTATATCTGTCTGTCTGTCATGTCTGTCAATGTCTCTCTATATATATAAAAGTACTGAGATAGGGCGGTGTCCTTAGTGACAAATCAGAAGGCTAAAACGCTCGGGGTGTTGCTAGTTATAGTTTTTTAACCTACGACCACATTACTAGTAGTGGAGGTAGGGGGTACGTTGTCCCTTCTGAGCTGTAAAGGTACCGGTGGCTGTGCGCTCAGGGTTTAGGTTGTTGAGCTGCCGTTTTTTTAATGATATGTATCTTAACCAAATAAACCGTGCCGGAACAAGAAGTTTGAGGAAAATTTAGAGTTAATCTTTTACTTTTTTAATAACTGTCTTGGCTGATCATGACTTTCAAATTTCCATCCCTTTATAATAACTTCATTCAGTAAAAAGAAGTTTGAGGTACAAATGAAACGTTAATGTTATGCGTTCTATAAATCTGTGAATTCAAATGTTTTTGGAAACTTTCTTAAAGACCTGCAGATGTGTCATTATGGAATATTAAATTCAATTTGGCGTTAACCGCAACGCCGCGAAATGGAAATACAACATAAATATCACTTAAATATCATCGATGGGTTTCAAATATTCGATTAAATATCCGATTAGTCCAAAATTCTAGGATGAGATAAATAAGAATACCATTGGAACCTTGGATATAATTTATAATTATCAATAGTTAACCTTTCTGAGCTTATCAGTTTCTGTAAATTTGGTAATAATTAATAACAAATAATTAATAATTAACAAGACTTGTATTCTACATTACAAAATATATCTGCTTATTATTTTATATTATTTCATACCGTTTTCATTTTATTTTTCGGACATGAAAAAATTAACTCTAAACCAAGACCTCGGAAGACGCTTCAGCGCAGAGTGTTTTTGTTAAAGAAGCGCGCTTCTTGCGTTCTGCCTCTGATGTTAAATAGCGACTCTCGCATTATAAGCCCGAAGACGCATCGAGATAATTAACAAGTCCGTTAGGCACGCAAACTACTCGAGCTTAATTAATGCCTTTGCGGACTTTCTCGGCGTGACATTCTTCCTAACAAATATTCTCGCAGTGAGCGTCACACCTATACAAGGTGTTAGCGAATAACTTAAGCGACGATTATCGTTTCATCTTATACAAAGATGTGAATCAAGAACGGGATTGAGCTCTCAACTTCATTTTAAAGTTATTAACGATTAAAATTCGCCTGGATCATTGTCTTAGCATCTCTTACGCGGAACGTTGCTATCCACGTTCGTATTACGCGCCACACTTGCGTAACAATGGCAGCTCGCGATACGAGAGGAACTTTGAATCGTGAATAACTTGACAACAAAGCGAATATCGGAATTTCGTCAGTCTTGATTATCATTTTTATTCAACTCGAAGAATCGATTCTCAACAAACTGATGAATTATGTTTTAATTTTGTTTAAAATTATATGGTTATGATAATATTTCAGAGTGATAATACTAAAGAACAAATCTATTAATTAAAGGAAATTAAATTTATTAGTATTTTAATTAAACCAATAGATTCATGAAAGTAAATTGAATTAGCAGAGAGTTCAATTTAAATCTATAAATGAGGTATTTAATTAAAATTAGTTTAAATAAAATTTTATTTATCTAAATGGAATTGGTTGCCAATGAGTTAATGTATTTTATTAATGTAGATAAACTTGAATACTATTTTAGAAAAAGGTTAATATTTACGAACCAATAGTTATAATATTTATTTAAAGAATAGAATTTAAGGAGGAAACAGTGTAGGATTAATTTTTTTTTTAATTATATGAATACGATAATATTTTTATTCAAGTGACATGAATGTTAAATTTTAAAGTATTCTGCGTAATTTCAAAATTAAAAGATAAAAACTCAAAAACCATTGAAATCATTATCGTTATATAATCTGCAAGGTTTTCTATAAATAAACATATTTATAAATTAATTTTCAAACACTGAAGTTGAACTAATATTTATCCTCTTTATTACTTGTAATACAAGACCTATTTCAAATTCCAATAAAATTATTTTTTGGTGTTTATACGTTTACGCGAATACCATAAATATGCTCACATAAATCCGCAGACCATTAATCATTATTTATATTCCTCTCCGTGATATATTTCACGATGTCCCAGCGAGCAGAAAATTAAGATCCCTGTCTCCTTTGCTTTCAGATCGCCAACTCGTCTCCCGCACTGTCGTCGCAAAAGTGGTTAATTCTCATGGCAGCACGGAAACTCGCAGCCCTCCTCACCGTAATTCTACAGCTTAGTTTATGTAAGTGTGTTTCCGGTTCCCTTGACGCATCCGCTCTTGAGATTTATTCTCCCGGGCGTTTTATCTCCGTTATCAGACGATCGGAAGCATCTCAGTAATTCGATAAAGAAGCCGGGAACAGTTGACGGGAAAAACGAAATAAAACAAAAAAGGGGATAGAGTAGAGAGGAAGAGAGAGAGAGAGAGAACAAAGAACAATAATAACACGGCGGAACGATGGGAACAGTGACGGCTGAAAGAGGCAAATTGAAAGTCCGTGTTCGCGATTCCATCAACTTCTGTCGGCTGACTTCCATGAGAAAACCGCAGATGCGCCTATCGCATCGAAAACCTACACGCCCTCCTCCGAGGACAAAAATTCGAACTTAATTTCGTTACAGGTACCGCGCAATAACAATTGAAGTCGGTAACGTCTGGGTAAACATCGCGTCTGGCTCTTTCTTTGTGAGTAGGCACAGCACTGCACAAAATTGTATTTCTACAGTAAACAAAATTTCGTGGGAACTATTTACGATCGGTGAACGAATAATTTGATTTCGATGTATGTTTATCGTTTACATGCTAATGTTCGAATAAAGAATATGTAATATTGATGTTTGCATTTTGTGATGTGTTTAAGAATTACAATTGTAATTTGTGACATTGTGGTAGGTTCGAATTTATTGATAATAGAGTGAATAGATCGAGTAATGGACTTTTATGACTATGTGTGTAAATCAATGATTTCCATACGTTGTTATAATTTATGTTAAAATTTGTGAATTATAGGATATTGACAATTCCACTACCAATACTTTCTGAACAATAATTTTTCAAGTTGCTATATTTCATCAAATACAACGTACATTCTAATCATTAAAATATTATCATATGCAAGTGCAAACACAAGTTAATTCGTGATCGGTCAACAATATGGTACATACACGTGACAAGGACCGTGTTAACACTAGGTTCACGGACATTTATTGTACAGTTTATACTACTATTCCTAGGAAAATTCACGTTCGTTCATTCGGATTTTGAAAGTTAGATGTTTAAAAATAAATAATTGATGTATATACATACTGATGGAATTGCATCAATCAAAGTCGACGTAAACAGCTACCAAATAGTGTTTATAAAATTCAATACGCGTCAAATCGACGCGTTCCGTAAACCGTGTTAAACATCTCGAGATAGATTGGAAAGAGGTCGGCGAACGGGAATCGAATTAACGACGGAACTCTTCGGTTTATTGTTGACGCGTTCATAAGATCCAACGGAAGAGTAACACGGAGCACAAGCGATGAGGCAGGGTCGAGAGGGGTAGGGCGCGACCGCCTCGAATCTCTTAGCCGAGTATATCCGCGTTGCGGTAGAATGGCGCCGCAACTACCCTACAAGGGCAATACATCGTGGTAGTAGGGTGTAGGGGGAGTTTGTAGAATCCACTTAAATCCGGTGTGATTTAGTTGGGCACGCGGCCCCCTTGGAACCTGAATAGCGGCCCCGTAGCCTTTCCGGTAAGTAACAGGAACCTCAAGGCTTTTTAGACTGATAGGAACGGTTAAAAAGCTATTCGCCAAACGGGACCACCGCTACTTAGTTATGCCGGTACGCGGATAAATGTTCCGCACGACCGTTGTTGCACGCCGCGTTTTCATCGCCGTGAACTTTATTTATCTCATCTCTGGACAATGAGAAACCGAATTCAAACCTTTGCACTCGATAATTTTTCCGCTATACGTGTGTCACGTTCGCAACCATGGTCACGTTTGAAGCATCCATATTGTGGGCCTTGCCTCTCTTGTAATTATTTCGCTCGATATGTTATTCATATAATTTTTTATCATTTAACCTATTAACTGTGGAATTTAGTTTGATAAATCTCTCGTTTTGCGCGCAATAAAATGAAAGAATGAAATGTGTACTCGTGAAATGCAGGATGAATGCAGTTAAGATATACTTTAATGAGAAATTAAAGCAAAATGGAGAAAAATTACATATTTATTTGAAAAAGTAAAGAATTAATCGTTGAAAGAATTAGTATCGTTTCAAGCTTTAAGATTACGGGTATACTCGTTAAGCAGAGTTAAGTGGCTGAAATGTTGTAAATACACCGAACAAAGCATTTTACATAAGCCTCGTATACATATATGTGATATTTTAATATAACCAAAGTTACAGTTGGGTATACCATAGGCTAAATGTATATTAACATTGTCATAGCAACGGTATGAACGGTATAAACCGACCCTCGATTTACGCGAAAATCCGTTCCACGTGGATTCGTTTTACGCGAATGAAAATCGCATAAATAGAGTCTGTTGGTGCAAGACAAAACAAAACGTTGGAAAGGAAAGTTGGTATAAGTTGTAGAAATATATATTTATTTCATATAGCCAAACAAATTAAATACTAAAATTCATTTTTCTAATGAAATACTAATGTTTTCGATGGTATTAAACGAAAATAATATACGAATTAAGGGATAAGACTAGTTTATTTCAATATTTCGTGTTCAATTGCGTTACATCAAATTTGATATTGTACTTATATATGATTTTATCATTTTTCTATGTCAAAATAAATGGTGACTATGTAAATTCTTTGTTTTCAATGCAAAAATCATTGTAAAAATATCTAAAGATGAATATACATAGCAATTTGTTAAATTTTCGTGAGAATAAAATGAAGTTGTGTAAAATATAATTTCAAAATTCAACGGTTGCCAATATGAAGGTTAACATGATGTAATGGAAATAGTAAATTTGATGTTGGTAAAATTTCTTGAAAAGGGAGCTGTGGTTAATTACAGGATGCCTGTGTGCATTATTAAATTTCCAATATTCAGAATTTGTCTATAATATTTATCTATGGCAATGACAATTATGTAATAATATGACGGTAATTGTCATATTATCTATTGGTATTATATATATCGTTCATCATTATCGGTATGCACATATTTGCTCTATAAAATATGAAATCGGATATAACACGACAAAATATCTCATCAATTAAGTGCGATATTTCTGAATATCCCGTGTTATCAAAGAGCATATTAATTTCCAAATTATCTCTGATAGATAAAATATTATGAATTTATACCAGGCAGTGTGTCATGTCCGGTTATTCGGAAATAAATCAAGGTATTTATCTTCTCAAACTCCGATGATTTCAATTCTTCAATTTATATATAATATATGCTAATTTGTTTTAACCTAGTACTGTGTACAATAAAAATCTTCAAAAATACATACGTTCTTTCTGACATATCTAAAATACATGACAAATTTTTTAAATAAATTATTTGTATCCCTGACGTATAAAATAACTGTAAATTATACAAAGATTAGGTTATTCAGAAATAGATCGAGGTACCTCTCATTTCAAACTCCGATCTTCCCAAATTTTTAATTCTAATTTCCAATCTATTCACGTTTACTATAAAAATTCTAAAACCCACGAAATTACATATTAAATAATTCAAATTTTCAAATTAAACCTCAGAATATATATGATTAACTTGTCCAAACAAGCTGCATAGAAATTGTTCTCAATTCTCGATTCATCTGTGATAAGCACCCAATTAATACTTTGAATACCATCAAAATCACCAATGTCTCTCAACCACATCAAACTATCGTAATTCTCTCAATGAAAGAGCACTGCATCTTTTGTTTAAACTTCTTTTACTATCTCTTACCATTCTCAAGATGATCCACAGAAAAGCAATATTTGCAGTTTACAAGGGGTGGTTTCACCCCTTCAAAGTGGATCTGTGACGGTCGCAATCCTATATTTTACATAAAGAAAATAAAATTAGTCCTATAGATATTGTTATTTAAAGTTACAAGCTACGGCATTATATTTAGCAACTCAGTAGATATAAAATTTCCGTCATCGAAAGAAAGGCTGGTAGCGAACGTGTTAATAATTTCGTACAAAGTGGTAAATTTCAAAACAATCTGGAATATGTAATCCAATAAGACTATCAACGTATAATATGTCTTTGGCAATTCTGGCACAAAAACATCACGACGTGCGTAGCACGCCTTTCCAGTGCAAGTGATTTAATCGGATAATCGAGGTTCTACTGTATGTACCTATATATCTCGTTCGAATAGCATTCTCGACGCTCACGCGCAATACGTTCGGTAAGCAGTGCACGCTCTGCGTGAATCAGGTGCAGCGGAATTATGACAGAGCCGGGGTGATTTACGCGGCCATGAAAAATTACATTTAAACGTCCGTTATCCAGCGAACGCGGCGCGAGGGAAAGGGGTAGGTGGGAAGTGGTTAACGCGCGGAAGTTCGCGAGTCAAGTCGTCAGGTAGCCCGTCAGCAGCGGAACCGACCAGCACGTTCCTCGTAAAATTTACGAGCTCCTTGAGTTTGCAAAAATCCCCGTATATCGCGCGCCGAAGATCTTCGCAAATGGAGATACGTTTCCACACGCGGCCACGTCGAACGACCGCGCCTGGGGTCCATCTTCATCGGATAGTCCGCTAATCCGATGACACGCGGAAAAGTCAAATTTTATTAGACTGTCACACGACGAGAATCCAATGAAGGGAGCGAGCGAATTCGAGTTGTGTGGTGACATCCATTTGGAAGAATAAAGGAGGGCCGAAGGTTCGGAATTTTAATGTTGCGGGGATTTTTATGAAATTTTGATAATGAAAGTATTGATTACTTGACGTATTAATATTTTAATAACGTATTAGGTTGTTAATTTATTGATTGAGTTGTTAATTGGGTTATTGGGTTGTTGAGTTATTGATTAAGTTGTCCAATCATTAAGATATTGATGAAGTTGTTAAGTTGCTAAGTTTTTAATTAGGTTTTTAAGGCACGAAGTTATCAATTATGTTATTGAATCATTAAATTATTAATGAAATTATTGTACTATCAGGTTATTAGTTAAGTCATTAATTTATTAATTAATTTACTGATCCATTAGTAACTTTTTAACAGTTTAACTATTCTGATAGTACCCGCCAAAACAGAAAAATTTG